CTCTCTCTCTCCCTCTCTCTCTCTCTCTCTCTCTCTCTTCCTTTCTCTCTCCCCATGTTTTATGAACACTTGTTTGGACTTTCACAGGCATTAATATACACATACCAATAAGATTAAGTGCAGGAACAGAGAAATAAAAACAAAATAAAACAAGATCAGCCATTACACTTTATAAGACAATGAACCATTTTCGTAGACAAAAGATATTTAACATAAAAAAATAATGCTTGCATCATGGGAAATCAAATTTACATATTAAAAAAATCATTAACACATGAATGGATAAAAATGTGGTATTTATACACAGTAGAGTGCTACTCTGCCATGAAAAGGGATAAATTTGAGTCATTTGTAGGAAAATGGATGCACTTTAAAACCATAATGTTAAGTGAAGTAACTCAGACACACAAGCTTAAATAACACATCATTTCTCTTATATGAAAAATTCAATATTTATATATATATATACAGTGTGAAATGAAAGACATAATATGAATAAATAGAAAAAAAAGATACTATAATCTAGTGTGAACAATGTATTTAAAAGTATACCTTGGGCCAGGTGAGGTGGCACATGCCTATAATCCCAGCACTTAAGAGGCTGAGGCAGGAGGATTGCTGCAAGTTTGAGGCCAAGCTGGGCTACATAGTGAGTTTAAGTCCTGCCTGAACCATATAGTAAGGCCTTGTCTCAAACAAACAAAAACAAAAACAAAAAAATGCAAAACTATACCTTGACTTAGTACATGTTTTAGATGTCCTTTGGCCTTTTAGTCTGGTTTTCAATCTGTATAATGAATCTGATGCTGGAAAAATAAATGATGGGTGGAGGCGGGGGAGGAGGAAATGAAATGTGTTATGTACATGTACCAATCCCCTACAGCAAATGTAATCATTATGTACTGCAAACATGTACTAATAAAAGTAAATAAAATTTTAAAAAAGGAATCCATGATAGAGTTAATAGAGAGTCTGCTTCAAGTTTTATAAGAGCTATGAGAACTTTCCCTCCTTAGACACCTAATTGTGGCTGTAATCATTTTCTGGAAGCTTAATTTATATTGATTTTTTTCTAGCAGGAACTCAGTACATACTATGATACTCAGTTCAGTCTCTGTTCATGGCTCAAACCTTAGATTTTTACTAGTAATTATTCCTTTTTAAGAAATACAGTATCCATGCAGATGATAAAAGTATTCATTCACTTTAAAATTAGATCTGATTGCAGTCCTTGGTTTGTATTCCAACATTAAAAACAAAATATCCAAAACAATATATGTGCCATAGCTCTGATTATGCAGCCTGTTGCCCACCCACTTACTGTTTTTGAGCTCCACTATACACTTTTCCTCTGGTCAGAACTGTGTTTAGATTAAGTCCTCGAGAAAGGAGGACTTAGTAGTTACTGGATGCATGAGAGGAAATTCTTTTTAGTGTCTACTCCAAAAATTAAGTCAGGCAAGTTTTGCAGATCTCCTACTATTGTCAGGGAAATGTGAATAAGAAGAGTACAAATATACAAGAAAATGGATTCCTTCTCCCTTTCCTCCCAAGGAAAGCCTTCTGCTAATTCAAAGAGATTTTCTTCCTGTGATTTCTATACATATTCTTCATTCAAACCACTGCACTTTGATAATTATACACTGTACTATGGCAGCTCTCATGTCATATCATGTTGCTATCTAAGATTTCATTTCCATACATAAACAATATTATAAACTCCTGTGAGGCTAGGGCAGTGCTGTGTTGACCTTGGCCTCCAGAGAGCCTTGTACTCAATAGATGGAAAAGAATATTTTCAGTAAAGATTGATTCTCTAGTAATGGTTAATCTTAACCAACATTGTTTAAAAATACTTTTTATTTCCCTTTGTGACTCTTTCATTATGCATGTCCTCTTCCCCTTTTGTCATTTATTTAACACAGTCAGTTAGGAGTCTCCTAGGTTTAATTCACTGTGACAGACACTGGATAAAGAGTACTGAGAAAAAAGTAGTAAGCCCTCACCTTGTACAACAGAGACACATACAGTGACAAACAAAAAGACATTAATTACCAGAGGCTGTCAGTGGAGCAAAATAATATAGGAGAGCAGCTGGGGACTGGGCTGGAGAAGGGTTCCCTCCTCAGATGATGCTTAAATTAAATTTGAAGGAAACAGCATAAGAAAGCAAGGTCACAGGGCAATCTTCCATGTGGAAGAAACAAAATTTCCCAAGAATCCAAAAGAAGGCCAGTAAGCGTAGGCACAGTGAACAAAGACAGTGTCCAAATCAGGGAAGTGGTTACAGAAAAGCACATGGGTGCTTGGAGGCTTGATGAGAAGATTAGATTTTATTCTAAATATATTTGGTAGTGATTTATGCAATTTTAAGCAAACGAATAATAATTCATTTACTAAAGATCTTTTTTATTTTTCTTTTTTGAACCAGTCTAGCTATGTAGTTAAGGCTGACCTTGAACTCACTATGTAACCCTGGCCTGGGACTTGCTGTGATCCTCCTGCCTCAGCCTCCTGAATCCTGATATTACAGGTACAGCAGTGTACTCAGCTCAAAAGAGCATTCTGATTAGAATATTAGAGGGCTTCTGAAGTGGAAGCAGCGATAACTATGATCGCCTCCATAAGGAATGATACAACTAGGTCCCAAATGAAAATAATAAATGCAAGGCAGAGATATGACCTGTGGATGGATTAGACATGATGATAAGGGAAATGTATATAAGTAGGTGGACAAAAATATCATTTGCTGAGTGGGAAAAAGCAGGGATGAGAGAATGGGAAAGGAAGCAATTTCCAAGACTAGGATATAGATGTGATAGCTTTGAGAACATTGAGACCTTCAGGTGGAAACATCAAATGAACTGCAGAATGGATGAGGTGGTTCAGTATCGTCCATATGGTTCATAGGGAGCTGCACACACCCCTTCCCCACTCACACAAGGGGAGCACAGTTTCATCCTCCAGGCCACTGTGGTTAATACACAGAGATGGACATATGTTCCAACATTGTCCAATCAGACAACATGTTTGATTCTTCAGACATCTCCTTAAGGACAGTTATGGAAAATTCTCTTTTCCTGCTTCAGTCACTAACCTAGAAAAATGTAAAGATAGACTACTAGCTATCATATTTGCCATGTGGAGAATTAAAAAAAGGAAGAAAACACCTGAGAACATTGTCTTGTCCCCTAAATCCAGCCATATCTGAGGCCAAATGAATTCCTAGGTTTTCCCAATCTTCTCATTATGTTTTTATCGATGTACCTCCAATTTGTTTGTTAACTGGGTTTCTATTATTTGCTGCCCAAGTGTGCTATTGTGGGAATACAGGATACTGTATCATGTACTGAGCCTGCAAAGAAAGAGAAGCAGAGTCAGGATCATGCCCTGGATGATCTAGAGGCCCAGGCTAATGGGATATAGTGTTTGTCATGCTGCATATGGAGCAAATCTGCATTTCTTTCTTTAGAAATGTCTTAAGAATCTAGATTCACTTACACGATGATGAACTGTGATGAAAGAAGAATTGCAGCATATATTTATTCTCTACCCACACTGCATTTAGTGGGTGGGTGTACCTGTCCCTCCCTTCTCTAAATTGACTGATAACAGCTCACACCTGCACTTCTCCAAGGCTTGCCCTGGTCTGACCTGAGTACCTCACTGCCCTGGGAAGTTTGGGTAGCTCTGTTTATGATAAGATAAACAGCCCCACCCTCTGCCTTCTACAAAGAGCCTCAGGCTCCGAG